AATCTCCACACTGTTTTCCATAGTAGTTGTGGTAGTTTACCTTCCCACCGGCAGTGTAGAAGCACTCCCTGTTTACCGCATCCATGCCAACATCTATTTTTTTATTTTTTTATTATGGCCATTCTTGCAAGAGTAAGGTAGTATTGCATTGTGGTTTTGATTTGCATTATCCTGATCATTAGTGATGTTGAACATTTTTTATATGTTTGTTGGTGATTTGTATATCTTCTTTTGATAATTTTCTATTCATGTTCTTAGCCCACTTTTTGATGGAATTGTTTGTATTTTTCTTACTGATTTGTTTGAGTTCATTGTAGATTCTGGATATCAGTCCTTTGTTAGATGTATAGATTGTGAAGTTTTCGCCCACTCTATGGGTTGTCTGTTTATTCTGCTGACTGTTCTTTTGCCATGCAGAAGCTCTTTAGTTTAATTAAGTCCCTGCTGTTTAATCTTTGTTTTTATTGCATTTGCTTTTGGGTTGTTGGTCATGAAATCCTTGTCTAGGCTGATGTCTAGAAGAGTTTTTCCAATGTTATCTTCTAGAATTTTTATATTTTCAGGTCTGAGATTTAAGTCCTTGATCCATCATGGGTTGATTTTTTGTTTAAGGTGAGAGATGAGGATCCAGTTTCATTCTCCTTCTAGTGGCTAGCCAATTATCCCAGCACCATTTGTTGCATAGGGTGTCCTTTCCTCACTTTGTTTTTGTTTGCTTTGTTGAAGATCAGTTGGCTGTAAGTATTTAGGTTTATTTCTGGGTTGGCCATTTTGATTACTATTTTTAGAAGAGCTTTTTGTTTGGCATAGTAAAATATAAGTTTTTGTAGAAATTTAAAAAATAAATATATCAAAAAAATTTTAAGAAATCTGCAATTTTATAGAAAATGGGATTATATTTTTAAAATTTTAAATATTTTCCATTGACAATATATATGAATTTTTGGCATATATATGTATGTCATAATGTATTTTGCATATATATATATGCCATAATGTATTCAGCCAAATCTATTGTATGGGACATTTAAGTTATTTTCAGCTTATTGAAATAGAAAAATTTTCAATGACCATTTTTTCGTATGACTTTGTGCATATTTCTAATCATACCTTTAGGATAAATTACTTTTAAAATAATTTCTACATTAAAGAGTATGTAACATTTTAAGATTATTAATACACGTTGGCAACTTGCCTTCCCTAAAATAAGTACCAGCTTACACTAATCTTGCAGTGTATAAGAATGTCTGTTTACTCCCTCCATTATCAAAACTGAATATTCAATTTTTAATGCTATTTGCAAATCCAATGTTTATCTGTTTGTTGGCTAATAGTCTGAACATCAGTCCTGTTCATTTCTCTACAAATCAAGATTACGGTCTTTTAAAATTTATCTTTGAAAATAATGCATATTTGAATTAACAAGAAATTTACAGAAGTTCTTACAGGTAAAAAGCAAAATGAGATCACAATTCCAGACAGGTTGGAGAAGGCTGAAAGAGCATTTGCTAATCCCCGGGTACTTTTAGGTTTAGTTTAAACCACTCTAAAGGTTAAAAGAGAGAATTTCCAGGTCCAGTGCAGTGATAGGAAGTTGGATAGGATACCACAGCATAAGTTCATTGTCCCCTAAGAGCTGCGTATTCAATGAAAAAGCCAACCAAGGTGAGCAATATTTTTTCACACAAGAAGAGAATGAATAAAAATATTTGTCTTTGTTGGTCTCAGCCCTAGATGGAGGGGGGAAAGTACTTTTGCTTAAGTATTAATAACCTTAATCTTGAGTCAGAATTCACACTACCTTCAAGGAATGAAAACTTTTTAAGCTGGAAATTTTGTTTAAAGAGGGCCCTATTTGGTAGTACCCCTGGGTAACTGGTATTCACAAACTAAAATCCTCTCTTAAAGAGTGCACCCTCACATATATCTCAAAGGATTCTCACTGATAATATTTCATACACACACACACACACAATTATAAAACATACACGGAAACAGGAAAACATCAGCAAAATAAAAAAGCAGAGCCATATCCACAAAGATTTTAGAAACTTTAATTATAGATGCAAAGTATAATAAGTATGTTTAAAAATATAAGAATGATTTTAAAATATGGTTAAGACATAACTGTCTATAAAAATGACCTTTTTTTTTTTAAAGAACCAAATAGAACTTCTGGAAATGAAAAATGTAAAAATCAAAATTAGGAACTCAGTGCATAAGTTAAGTGACATATTAAACACAGGTGAGAAGAAAATTGGCAAACTAAAAGAAAAATTTTGAAGAGCTTGCCCCACATGATGTACAGAAAGACAAAGAGATGAAAAAATGTAAGGGGATAGAGCCTCTGACAAATACCTGGTCAGTGTCCCATAAGGGGATAATGGTATGATGAGAGAAAATATTCAATAGGATAAGCCCAACAACTTCACAAAGTTGATGAAAGATAGGGAGGCTCAGATACAGTGGAGGACTAGGGAAAACATCCACACCTAGAAGAATCATAGTGAAGCTGTGGAATATTAAAGCCTAAAGGATCTAATCAAACAGCAGAGAGAAAAGACAGATGGTGTGACAGACTAGCAGCTGACTTCTCAACTGCATCAGAGGAAGACAGAGACTGCAGAATAATCCTTTCTTCACCAATACTGGGAGAAAATAAGTCAAGCTAAAATTGTATACTTAGCAAGACTACCTTTTAAGAAAAACATTATTCCATTGAGAGGATAAACAAAGTCAAAAGTTGATTCTTTAAAAAGAGTATCAAAATTGACAAAATTCTAGCAGGAAAAAAAAGAGGCAACAAAAGTAATAAATTTTAAGAGGGCCCATAGTTATAGGTACTGCAGAGTTAAAATAACTGATAGGCAAGTAATATAAACATATTTTTGAGTGATTATAAAACTATCAAAAGAAATTAAACATGGTCTAAATAAGTGGGAGATGTAATCGGGAATTTGGCAAACATGCAAGATTAAATAGGTCAAATAGGAATACATATTTAAGGTTAAGACCTAAACAAAAGCAAAGAAATTATAAGCACAAAATTCAAATACTGGTTACTTTCTGACAGTATGCAGGGGTAAAAAAAATCAGGACATAGTCTACTTTTTAGTCCAAATGGAGGCACTTTGTTAATATTCCTTAAACAGTTCATTTACATTATTTATTTACCATGAAATGTATAACACATAGAGAAAAAAGTAAACAACGCAGCACAAAAATGTACAACTCAATGGTCGTAAAGCACACACCTTCATAATCACTACATAGATCCAGAAATAAAATATGTGAGCGCCCCAGAAGCTATAGTTTCCCAGTCCTCAAAAGGTAGCCTCTAGCTTTGTAGATTTATTGTTTATGAATGTATCCTTAAACCCTCTTGTTTTGTTTTCTCCTGTCTTTTGAAAATAACAGGGATGGAATTACATACAGTTAATTCTTTTATGTCTGGCTTCTTTGACGAACATAATGTTGGTGAAATTAATAGGCCAATGAATGGTATTATTTTAATTTCATTTTTCTGGTTACTACTTGTAGTAAAAATTTTTCATATTGTAACTTTTGAATATTTGTTTTGTGAATTGTTATTACCTTTGCCCATTCATCCATCTGTAAGATCCTCTTCTTATTATTGATTTGCAAAAATTATTTGTTAATAATTACATTAACAATTATTGACAAACAAATGTGCTCTTTACAATTCGTTCTCCATTTCGTTATTTAACACTTATAATTTGTAATGGTTTTCTTTTTAAACTTTCCTTTTGTATTATTGAAAATTAAATATATCATCTCTGTAAAAAATTTCAGGAAACCAAATCAAAAACACAACACACCGTAGTATAAATAAAGATCATTTTAATTTCTTCTTCCCAATTAATTCCTTCTTCCCAATTAAATGTTAACTGTTGGTAACATTTTGGTTCATATCCTTTGTGACTTTATTTATTTGTATTTACTTATTCTCTATATATGTACATTTTTATATATAAATGTAGATAGAGATATATGTCAAATTTTTAAATATCTATATTTGTACCTAAAATTTTACTAATGGAGAATTATTTTGTCTGCGTAATAACATGTTTTTCACCAATCGATACAATTTACACCACCATTTTAAATTATTTAAATTGTGTTCCATTGTATAAATTTGCTAATTATTAATTCAACAGACATTAATTGAGTCTCTTGATAATGCTATATAGCAGCATTGTTTTGTAGGCACTTGAGGCAACTAACATACAAAATTCCTGCAAAGGTGGGGTTGAATGCTAGTGGAGGAAACATACAATAAAGAAATAAATTTTTCATATTCTATAAGGAAATCCTAAGTCCTAGAAAGAAGAAGGAAAGCAAGGAAGAGTTTAGAGAGTAGTGGGTTGATATGAGGGAATAAGGTATTCAAGGAATGCCTCATAAATTAGCAAGAACATAGTAGAAGTATGGGAACCCACTGTGCCAGCCTTTGGGGAAAAATCAAATGCAAGACAACAAGGTGAGTTTTTTGGGTTTTTCTTAGAGCACTATGACATTAGTCAACATTTCAATTACTTGCAATTTTAACAAATTTGGAAGCACCATTGTTGTTAAAATATTTAGTTTTTGCTTGCGTTCTTACATTTGTTCTCCTCAGTTTTCAAACCAACCTTGTCCTTGTATGTCTTTATGACTATAATAGTAGAAAGATGTGAGAGTGTATATTAAAGGATGTTAATCTAGTACCATCTTACTCCAGAGATATAATTCATATTTATTTAGAGGAAAAATAAAATTTAGGAAAAAAGAAAAGAAGTTTTCAAAGAATGTTAGAATATAGAATATTTAATTTAGAAAGGAATTTTTTTATAGCTAAGACAAAAAAATTAAAATGACTTGCCTTTAGCTACTCTGCAAATTAATACTTTTTTAAAATGCCACTTTAACATCATGGAATCTTTAATAAAATAACTTAATAAGCAAGAACTTTGACACAAAATATTTTTTTGTTCCCTTAGGTTGCTGATGCCAAATTTTGCCCAAGACCTTTTAATGTCTTGCCTGTGAAGACAAAATGGAGTAACGTGGGCTTTCATATTCTTCTATTTGATCTGGAAAACCTTGTTGAACTTTTACTACCAACTCCACTCAGTGATGTTGACTCTTCCAGTTCATTCTATGGTAGTGAGGTCCTGAGAAGAGCCAAGAGCACAGTGGAGAAGAAGACACTGACACTGAGAAAGAGTAAAACTGCCTGTGGTCCTCTCTCAGCAGAGGCACAAGCCAAGCCTATTACTGAAAGCCTGTCCCAAGGAGATACCATCAAATTCTCAGAAGAAAATGATGGAATTAAAAGGCAGAAGAAAATGAAGATCTCCAAAAAAATGCAGCCTAAGCCATCAAGAAAAGTAGATGCCAGTCTTACAGTAGACACAGCTAAATTGTTTCTGTCTTGCCTTTTGCCATGGGGAGTGGATAAAGATTTAGATTATCTTTGCATTAAGCACCTCAATATTTTAAAGCTTCAGGGTCCTATTTCTTTGGGACTTGCTTCAAATGAAGATCATTTCTCACTGATGTTGCCAGGTTGGGATGTATGCAATACTGAAATGATAAAAGACTATTCAGGAGTAAATTTATTTTCCAGGAAAGTTTTGGACTTGTCAGATAAATACAGAGCCACTCTTCCAGATCAGGTTGGAATTCCAAGAGGACTGGAAAATAATTGTGATTCTTTGCAAGAGTCAAATACTATAGTTTATTTGTTGAGCAGACTATTTTTAGTTAATAAGTTAGTTAACATGCCTTTAGAATTGGCATGTAGAGTTGGCAGGTAAGACATACCTAGAGATTTTGACTATACTAGATTATGACATTAAAAAAAAATCATGGCCGGGCGCGGTGTCTCAAGCCTGTAATCCCAGCACTTTGGGAGGCCGAGACGGGCGGATCACGAGGTCAGGAGATCGAGACCATCCTGGCTAACACGGTGAAACCCCGTCTCTACTAAAAAATACAAAAAACTAGCCGGGCGAGGTGGCGGGCGCCTGTAGTCCCAGCTACTCGGGAGGCTGAGGCAGGAGAATGGTCTAAACCCGGGAGGCGGAGCTTGCAGTGAGCTGAGATCCGGCCACTGCACCCCAGCCTGGGCGACAGAGCAAGACTCTGTCTCAAAAAAAAAAAAAAAAAAAAAAAAAAAATCATGATTTGCTCTTTGCTATATTCAGCTCTTTAACATTCCTTCCTTCTTTCCAGTGGGGGGTAAATATGCAACAACTTCTTGGTTTAAAAAACATTAAGAAAATCTCCCTTTTAATTGTTTGGATTGGAGTATAATTTGGCAATAGATCTATATGATTTAAAATTCATTCATTCAACAAATATTCAATGTTTTCATAATATGTGTCAAAAAAGACATAGTGTGGGATGCTGAATGAGTAGATAGATAGATAGATAGATAGATAGATAGATAGATAGATAGCTACATAGATACATAGATACATACACATATACATACATAGACACATATACGTCTTGAAATCCATTATACATGGTATGAATTAAGTATGAACAAAAACACATATATGTCTTGAAATCCATTATACATGGTATGAATTAAGTATGAACAGAAACATTTAAGTTAAGGCTTATGATGATATGTTTTTTATATCATCAGAGAAGGAAAATATTGAAAATTTCATACCTCAAATTTTACCATTTATTTTATATTTTGGCATATTAAAATAGAATAAAATAGAAGAGGCTATTTAGTAATTCATTTATACATAGTACAGTTTAGTAATAACTGTTGTTTTTGAGTGTTGAGATTACACTACTCTGTGACTTTGGGCTAGACACTTTGCTTTTCTGGGCCTTACTTTCCTGATTTACAAAATGAGGTGGGTGGTATAGGTGACTGTGAAATTCTTAAAAGCTTAGGTTGCTAATCAATTTGATTTATTGGTCTAATCATGATCCCACAGAGCAGATGAGGGACTTAGTTGTTTGCCAGAGGTTTTCATTGTAAGTTTATTCCTGATACAGATTACAGGATGGAAATGATGTGTCTGATGTCTGGTGCACTTTAGGGAAGCTTACGGACTTTTGGTATGCCTTTCATTAAATAGCCTTTCAAATGTTGTCACACATTAGTTGACTCTTTAAAGAATTCTTCATTGAAACAAATTATAGAATGAACGTGTCAGGATGAGAGACTGCTTCTCTGCTGCAGCCACTCCAGATTTGATCTGCTGTCAGAGCCCAGATACTATTTTTTGAGAAATCAAAATAATGTATGTTGGATTTGTCACACCAAATCCTTCCAACAAATTTGACCATTTCACAGAAATTTTACTGTGGTTGTGAAGGTTGAGAAATCTTCATAAGCTTAACAACTGGGCACATGATTTAACTGAATTTTAAGGCAACACCTGCCTACTTATCAGAACATCCCTGGCAGTTTCGGAAGATTCCTGTGATGGGAACACTGGTGTAGGGTAAAACCCGCCTTCATAAGGCTCCAATGGTAGCTGAGGAGAATTCTTTGACAGATGTCAACATATTGAGTTTTTTTAATTTGTTGCATTAGTCAGTAGTCATGTGACCTAAAATAGCAAACCTGTCTTGTAAATGTAGGTCACAGATAATACTGGCAAACTAAGACGTGCAGGTCAACTGGGATTAAGATTTTAGATGGGAGCCTAAAAAAAAAAAAAAAAAAAAAGATTTAGGTGGGAACAAAGTGAGGAAATCAGATTCACAAAAGAAATTGATGTGAAAGATTTTGCTAAAAATAATCTGTATTCAATTTCTAAATTTGCGAAAGTGGTCATGTACCCATATCTTTGATTTATTTCCTCAAATAATTTTTTGTGCTTTTTAGTAATATACTGCCAATCTTTTTTCTAACAGTTCTTTCAGAATGGAATGTGCACATAATAAGGTGAGAAGTGCTGGGAATGACATTTTAAATATGTCAAGCTTCTACGGTTGCTCACGAAATGGTAAGGGAGCTACTGACACAGATATGATCTGATTTTTTTTTTTCCTATGAAAGGAAATAACTAGTCTTTCTATAACTGGTTAGCAATGTCAAAATAAATAACATTTATAAAACATAGATTTTACCTATGTTTGTGATTACACTAGCTGTGTGGCTTGAGGCTAGTCATTTAGCTTTTCTGGGCCTTACTTTCTTCATTTAGAAAATGAGGTGGGCGACATTTATCAAACATTTAAAAACACAAATTGAACATTTTATAATTTTAAAACATAGACATAACATTCTAACATTTATAAAACATAGATTTCAAATGATCTTTGAAATGCCTAAAAATTTGAAACTTTTCAGCATAGGAAATACTTAGGTGTTAAGTATTTTATTATTGTGTTTTATTGGAAAGTTTATTGCATCAATATCTTTATTACCAAATAAATGATTATTATATTAGATAATGTTCTTGCAATTTTAGAAGATTATATTCTCAACTTCAGTGTTTAGATTTTCTCTTGATGCCAAATGGCAAATTTATTTCCCAAACCTGTTTTTCCAAGTTTGGGACATCTCAGTAAATGACAGTTCTATCCTTCCAATCGCCAATTGCTCAAGCCAAGAACTTTCCCTTTCTCTCACACCCCACGTCCAATCTGTTAGTAATTGTGTCAGTTCTACCTTCAGAATGTATCCCAGAATCTGACTGCTTCTCACCCACTACACCAGCAACTCCATCTCCCTCAACCTTCCTTTCCCTTGCCCTCACCCCTGTGAGCCTGGATGACCACAGTAGGCATCCTGATCATCTCTCTGCTCCTATTCTTGGCTGCTGCACTCTGTTCCCAACCAAGCAGCCGGAATGATTTATTCAGAACTAAGTCAGAACCTCACTCTTCTATGTATAACCTTCCAGTGGCTTCTGTTTCACTCAGAATAAAAGCCATTGTCCTTACTATAGCACACGAGGCCCTATAGGATCTGACCGCTTACGTATGTCATCACATACACACCCCCATCCAACCTTATCTCTTAGTGTTCACCCCCTGCTTAACTCATTCCAGCCACCCTAGCCTTTTTACTCTTACCCAAGCATGACAAGCAGGTCTGAGGACCTTTGCATTGGCTGTACCCTTGCCTGTGGTGTTCTTTCCCTAGACCTTCATGTGGCTCAACCTGCTCACCCTACACCTGCTACCATCCGTCAAGTCTTGCTCCAGTGCCACTTTATCACTGAAGGTGCCCTACCTCCTCCCCAGCACTCCCTACCCCTTTCGCTGTTGTACTATTTTCCATAAGCCTCTTCACTATCTGACATCTGTTACTTTTAAAAATCTCATCTGCCTCCTGCTACTAAATTGTAAGCTCCATGGAAGTTATATTTTGGTGACAGTTTTATTCATTGTTGTGTCCCCAGTTCCTAGTACAATATCTAGAAGGAATTAGCAAATAACTTTTGCATTCGTGGATGAATTAAATTAATGGACAAATAAAATTAAAGGATGAATAATGACTAGAACAATGGTTTTGGAGATAAATAAGATACATGGCTGAGATTCAAGATCCAGCTCTGCCATTGACTACTTGTGTTCTATTGGGCATGTCTTTTACTTTTTAAAAGCCCTAATTACTACATTTGTAAAATGGGAATGTGATCCCAGACACAGTGTGCGTGTTGCCTCCAAAGCTGTGCAGTATATGATCCATAGGATGGGGTGACCTGAATAACGGTACACAGTGTCCCTCACAGGACTGTTGAAAAGAGTATTTTTAAGTGAGAGTTTATTAATAGCTTCCAATTATCTAGTGCTTAGTATGTTCCAAGAATTATGTTAATGGTTTTACATATTTAATGTTTTTACTCATTTAATACAAAAACAACCCTGCACAGTAGGAGGCAGCATCTCTGTTTTATGTTTAAAAAAATGGGACTCAAGGAAGTTCGATGACTTATAGGCAAACAGCTATTCAGTAGAGGGGCCTGCATTCCAATCCAAATCTGATTCCTAACCCCATTTCCTGTCCACTGTGTCAGGCCACTTCTCACGTTTATGATTACAGATAAAGTTCCCTCTAAATAGCCCCAGTCTGGGTTGCCTCCTTTCTCCTTAGATAGTTACTCTTATTAGGGTTAGCTATCCAATGTTTTTGTTGTTGTTGTTGTTTGTTTGTTTGTTTGTTTTTTAGCACTGGTAACTCGGAAGGGGATTGGAATTTAAGATTTAGTATAAGTATTTCTGCAAAGACAGGGGATTGCTAACTAGAATCAAGGAGGTCCCTGTTTTTCCTGTGGCTGCCCCAGCAAAAAAGCCTAAGCAACTACTGTTACTATAGAATCATCTCTCTGGGATTTAGGTTGGCCTTTATCGCATTTGAAATTCAGCTAAGGACGAGGGAAACATGTTTTTCAAAAAAAAAATAATAATAATAATAGGAAGATGGAAGGTTAAACAAAAGGAAGTATTGACTTCATGGTATTAATTTTATAAAGCCAAATCCTAAAGAATAAAATAATACTCTGAGGTGCTCATTCTAAAATGTTGACAGGAACCAGTATTCACTTCTGTCAGCAGGAATGGTGACTGAATAATATTGGTAAGCCTCGGATATTTTCTTTTCATCTTTCCCCCTAAAATTGCAATTAATTCTTTAACTCACTGACATTGCCATTGTAGATAAATTGGCTCTCATTTCTATCACATATTAAAATTTCAACATCACATTAAAGTGTGCTTTGAGGTACCCCATGATGTTAGTAAGTAGTTACAGTTGAGACCAATACTTAGCTTTGATGGTTGAGTCACAAGGTCAGCAAAGTGGGAGAGGGAGGAAAAACGGAGATCAAAAGAAAATGTTCTCTTACCTGCTGTGTTCATGAAGAAATGGAAAACATGTCAAAATTATAATCTTCTATCATACTTACATGTTTTATATAGTGTTCTTGGTCATTTTACATTTATATTAAGTGCTCTATCAGGAAAAAATACTATCAATAATTGGTCAGAAGTTTCTTATATATTACTTTTATGTTCTCAAATTGCATTGTATACAATACTTTTATTACATTTTCCTTGACTACTAATGTGGTCAATATATAGTCATATAGATGGATAGATAGATATCTCATATGTTAATATAAAAATAGGGATTTGATGAAAAGTGTATCAGACAAATGCTAATTTAAATAGTTGATACCACAATGTCAGACATATATCAATATATTAATTTAAGTAGACAATTATAGTAACAACTTTTCCGCTTGCGCAAGCCCTTACCATTCTTCCCTATGTCACTCTCAGGATGTGCCGCCTAGATAATAGACTTTAGCCATCAGAAAGCCTTAATTCATTGACTGTTCATTATGATTATATGTACATTTTCAATTAATGAAAAGACACTTATTAAGTATTTTTTTTGTGTGTGTGTAGGAAACTGCTGGACACTCTATGAACCAATTTACTTAAACCAAGCGCTCACTCATTCTTAAAATTTCACACTGAACATTAAGACAGATAGAAAGGACATTGGAGAGGGCAAACAGAAAAGAAACAATACATAACAGAATGAGTCAAATTAAAACAGTAGTGCTCTACCTATTGATCAGAGTGGTAGAGCTGGATAAGGACAAATCAAAGGAAGTCTTTTATTTGATTTTACATGTGATAGAGACTAATTCATGGCAGAGGAGAATTTCAGAATTTGAATAAGGAAGGAATTGTAAGATGTGGTGATCTGTCTTGGGTCAGCAAAAAGAACAAAAATGTGTTGAAACTGTAAAAATGAATCTGATTTGATGTGAATATGTGTTAGTATAATTGTTAGAATTACATATAAATGTGTGTGTGTGTGTGTATATGGGTGTGTGGGTGTGTATATATATGTAGACAAATGGATGTTGACTCTGGCTGTACATGTAAATCATCTGTGGCACTTTTACAAAGCATTAATGCCTGTCCCACCTCTACCACAGGATCTGTAAAATAAAAATCTCTGGAAGATTGAATCTGGGCACTGGTGTTTATAAAAAACAAAGCTTCCCAGGTGATTCTAATATGCAGCCCATCTTAAGAGCCGCTATCCATTTTTAATACTCTCAAGATATAAATGTGTTCTGTGTATTTCTAGGTAAGAATGAATCCCATGTACCTGAGGCTGACCTTTCACTTTTGAAGCTAATTTCCTGTTGGAGAGACCAGTCTGTGCAGGTATGATATAATTCACATTCATGAAGTTACTAAAAGAGTTCCTTGCTGCTGTGGTTCATGGATACCCTCCCCTGTCTGAAAATACAAGTAGTTACTCTTGTCCTCGTAAAATGGCCTTTGAACAGGCATAGAGATGAGGGAAAACACAGGCCATAACATAAGCAAGGGTACACCATTCACCAGGGGAGCGTGAATGCCGGGGGCTGAGGGAGGGAGGTTCTTGTCATCACAGGTAATTTCTTGCTTGTTGAAGCTTCAGTCTGAAGCAGAATTGTCCATTATTTGATTTCCAAATATGACATACATTAAAGTACCTATATGTGGGAATTTGATTATGTGAAATTATAATTTTTTTTAATTTTTGATTTTTGTGGGCACATAGTGGTCATATATATTTATGGGGTACATGAAATATTTTAATACAGGCATGCAATGCCTAATTATCACCTCACAGAGAATGGGGTATCCATCACCTCAAGCATTTGTCCTTTGTGTTAGAAATAATCTGTTTATACTCTTTTAGTTATCTTAAAAAGTAAAATTAAATTATTATTGACTATAGTCACCCTGTTGTGGTATCAGATAGTAGGTTTTATTTATTCTTTCTGACTTTTTTTGGCACCTATTAATCATCCCCACCTACCCCTATTCCACACTACCCTTCCCAGCCTCTGCTAACCATTCTTCTACTCTCTACGTCCATGAGTTCAATGTAGTTATTTATTTTTTATTATTATTATTTTATTTTATTTTTTTTTGAGACAGAGTCTCGCTCTGTCGCCCAGACTGGAGTGCAGTGGCCGGATCTCAGCTCACTGCAAGCTCCGCCTCCCAGGTTCACACCATTCTCTTGCCTCAGCCTCCCGAGTAGCTGTGACTACGGGTGCCCGCTACCTCGCCCGGCTAGTTTTTTGTATTGTTTTAGTAGAGACGGGGTTTCCCCATGTTAGCCAGGATGGTGTCAATCTCCTGACCTCGTGGTCCGCCCGTCTCGGCCTCCCAAAGTGCTGGCATTACAGGTGTGAGCCACCGCGCCCGGCCTATCTATTTATTTATTTATTTATTTATTTATTTATTTATTCATTCATTCATTCATTCATTTTTGAGAAAGCATCTTGCTCTGTCACCCAGGCTGGAGTGCAGTGGTACAGTAACAGCTCACTGCAGCCTCACTCTACCAGGCTCAAGTGATCCTCCCACCTCAGCCTCCCAAGTAGCTGGAACTATAGACATGCACCACCACACCTGGCTAATTTTTTGTATTTTTAAAGAGATGGGGTTTTGCCATATTGCTCAGGCTAGTCTGAAATTCCTGGGCTCAAGCGATCTGCCCACCTCAGCCTTCCAAAGTGCTAGGATTACAGGTGTGTGCCATCTCACCTGACCTGTTTTGATTTCGAGATTCCACACATAAGTGAAAACATGCAATATTAGTGTATCTGTGCCTGGCTTATTTCACTTAACATAATGATCTCCAGCTTATCCATGATATTGCAAATGACAGGATCTCATTTTTTTATAACTGAATAGTGCTCTATTGTGTATGTGTACCATGTTTTCTCTATCCGTTTATCTGTTGATGGATACTTAATTGCTTCCAAATACTTACGTTGCTTCCAAATGTTGGCTGTTGTGAACAGTTCTGCAACAAACATAGGAGTGCAAATTTCTCTTTGATATACTGGTTTGCTTTCTTTTGGGTTATACTGAGCAGTGGGATTGCTGTATCATATGATAGATCTATTTTTAGTTTTTTGAGGAACCTCCAAAGTGTTCTCCATAGTGGTTGCACTAGTTTACATTTCCACCAACAGTGGATTTTCTTTTCTCCACATCCTTACCAGCATTTGATATTGCCTGTATTTTGGATATAAGCCATTTTAACTGGGGTGACATGATATTGCATTGTTGCTTTGATTTGCATTTCTCTGATGATAAGTGATGTTGAGTACCTTTGCATATGCCTGTTTATTCTTTGTATGTCTTCTTTTGAGAAATGTCTATTCATTTATTTTGGCCATTATTTTACTGGATTGTTAGATTTTTCCTATAGAGTTGTTTGCACTCCTTGTATACTCTGGGTATTAATCCCTCGTCAGATGGGTAGTTTGCAAATATTTTCTCTCATTCTGTGGATTGTCTCTTGATTTTGTTGATTGTTTCCTTTGCTATGCGAAGCTTTTAAATTTGATGTGATTCCATTTGTCCATTTTTGCATTGGTTGCCTGTGCTTACTCAGGAAATTTTTGCCCAGACCAATGACCTGGAGATCTCCACCAATGTTTTCTTGTAGTAGTTTGATAGTTTAATGTCTTAGATTTAAGTCTTCAATGCATTTTGATTTGACTTTTGTATATGGTAAGAGATAGGGGTCTAGTTTCATTCTTCTGCATAAGGATTTCCCAGCACCATTTATTGAAGAGGCTCTCTTTTCCCCAATGTATGTTCTTGGCACTTTTGTCAAAAATGAGTTCACTGTAGGTGTATGGATTCATTTCTGGGTTCTCTGTTCTCTTCCATTGGTCCATAGGTCTACTTTTGAGCCAGTACCATGCCTTTTGGTTACTATAGTTTTGTAGTTTAATAAATCTTTTTTTTTTACATTCTGAGAGTACCTCATCTGTGAGTTGACTTAGAGGGCTGGTTTCTTCAATGTCCAATTTAAGTCCTTCTTTCTCCTTTAAGGCTCCTTTTGGTCTCAAAATTTTACCAGTACTTTTGTGCATTGTACAATAAATAGTTGTGCATTGATTCAATGAATGTTTACTAGAAGTTTATTCTTTTTTATGAACTTGATACATTACATATCAAATTTGCAAGATTGAAATAGCAATAACTCCAATTACAAATGATTATTCTTGGTTATAAGGAAACAAAAAAAGTTAACTCGTAATATACTGTAGGGGCTGATGCTGTAATACTAAATATACACAGTTGGAATGGCTATAAAAACTAGTTGTCCTGGCCTGCAAGTATGCCTGTGATTTTTTTCCCCAGCCTGACCCCATCTGTCATCATATACGACCTCCTATCTTACCTTGATGTAGCCCCAACTGGCTTTCTTTTTATTTTCAGAAGACATAAAGCTCATCTGAACTCAGGATCCTACTGTTCTGTTGGGCTAGAATTCTCATTTCTTCATTAATCATTTAGGTCTTTGCTTAAAAATCTATCTCCTTAAAGAAGTCTTCTTTTATAACTCCAACTAATATTGTTGCCACATTCTACCCAACCCCACTTATCTAGTCATCATCACATTACCTAGTTTTTTTGCTGTGATTACTTTTAATGGAAATTATATTATTTACTGTTTTGCTTGCTTATTTTGTCTTCACACTGTTATATAAGCTTGCTGAGAGCAGTGACCTTGTTTGTCTCATTTGCCCCTCTCTTACCAATGCCCAGGAAAGCAGAAGTGACAGTACGCAGTCAATACATATTTAATGAATGAATGAGTAGCTATGCAGGCAACCTCTGTAATAATTGGAATAAACACAAGTACATGCAACTTTATCAGCACATTAGTAGTCACCCCAAAAAGGCTTATCTATTAAAAGTGAGATTTTTTTCCCCAGTAGCCAAAAAGTTCCTAAATGGGGAAAAAATTATTAAAAAGAAGGATTCAACAAAACATTTCTCTTAAATTGCTCTCGCTTGAAGATCTTTGGTAGTTGTTCATTTGACCTTCAAATAAACTTTAATGTGCTTTGAGCATGTTTGGACTAACAGACCTTTAAGGTTCTATGACTCTGTGACGGTATGTGAAATGCTGGCTGTAGACAAAGACTACCAGAGAATTTACCCACTCTACAGAAAGTCCAGCCTTCAAGATTCTCTTCTCATCTCTGCTACTGGCCTGATGCATGATCTGGAGGATAGGTTAAACTTCTTGATTATTTGTCTTGCTCATATGTAAAATGGAAATGAGTATTGCAGCCCTTCAGGAAGAATAGACTCTTCCAAGTATCCATTTTACTGCTTCAATAGCCGATCCTCAAATTATTATTATTATTACTTTTTCTTTCTGTCACCCAGGCTGGAGTGCAGTGGCATGATCTCGGCTCACTGCAGCCTCCGTCTTCCAGGTTCAAGCGACTCTCCTGCCTCATCCTTCCAAGTAGCTGGGATTACAGGCATGAGCCACCATGCCCAGTTAATTTTTATATTTTTAGTAGAGACAGAGTCTCACCATGTAGGTCAGGCTGGTCTCAAACTCCTGACCTCAAATGATCCTCCTGCCTTGGCCTCCCAAAGTGCTGGGATTACAAGTGTGAACCACCACGCCCAGCCATCCTCAAATTATTTATAAAATCATTCATTTAAGCAGTTAGTTGAATTATGTTAGCTTGATTTTACTTTTTTGAAAACTTTTATGTTAAGTTGAGGGGTATAAGTGCAGATTTGTTTCATAGATAAACCTGTATAATGGGGGTTTGCTGTACAGATTATTTCATCTCTCAGACATTAAGCCTAGTACCCATTAGTAGTTTTTCCTGATCCTCTCTCTCCTCCCACCTTCTGCTCTTCAGTAGGTTTCAGGGTAGGTCGTGTTCAAGTGTTCCCATCATTTAGCTCCCACTTATAAGTGAGAACATTCAGTATTTGGTTTTCTGTTCCTGTGTCAGTTTATTGGAGGATAATGGCCTCCGACTCCATCCATGTCAGTGCAAAGGACATGGTCTTGTTCTCTTTTATGGCTGCATAGTATTCCATGGTGTATATGAGCCACATTTTCTTTATCCAGTCTACCATTGATTGACATTTAGGTTTATTCCATGTCTTTGTCATTGCGAATAGATCTGCAATGAACATACGTGTGCATGTGTCTTTATAATAGAATGATTTATATTCCTTTGGGTATATATCCACTAATGGGATTGCTGGGTTGAATGGTATTTCTGTCTTTAGGTCTTTGAGGAATCACTACACTGTCTTCCACAATGGCTGAACTAATTTGCATTCCCACCAACGATGTATAAGTGTTCCTTTACTCCACAGCC